TCCTCCATTTCCTCTTCTCCCTTCCCCTTCTTCTCCTCTCATTCTGCCAGCTCCCTCTCCCCTACCCTCATGCTCTCAATTAGCTCAGGAGATCCTGCCCCTTCCCCTTCCCCGGGGTTCATACATTCTTCTCCTTACCTACTTCCTTTGGTGATGAGGATTGTAGGCTGGTAATCCATAACTCTACATCGAAAATTCATATATGAGTGAGTACATACCATGTTTGTCTTTTTGTAGATGCAGGTTTTTTATGTTTATTTATTTATTTTTTTGAACAGGGGAGAGGGGTATTCACACTGACTTGGAGATACAAAATGCATGCCTGGGCTTCTGCTCTCGACTATCGAACATGTGATTGCAAGGCTTCTTTTAGGATGAGTCTCCATATGTGCCCCAGAGAGCCAAGAACTGCTGGGTACACATTCTTCTGTGTCTGCTTTGGGGGATCAGGATCTCCTGCATTAAACTCTACATTGTACAGTGCCACAATACACCATCTGGAGCCCCTGAGGTATTTCTCTTGCTTGAAGCCCTGCAGGAGGGAGAGGACTCTCCCTTTACATGTCATTTTGCCTTGCACCAGATGCTAGAGTCCACGTTATCTTACTACAGATCTAAAACTGAGTATTCCCGAATTCCACCTGACCTCTCATCATCTACTCTTGACTATAACACAGCAGTGCCTTTCCCTACCTCACAGTTCTCCGTTCAGTAAGAACATCTGATGTTTTATATCAGACTTGTGAAGATACCCCCAACGGTTGGGTGTTTCTACTCTGCCATGTTCCCTGCATCACTGTTGTTGTCCATCATAACCAGCAAAGCCTTTGCTGTCATAGTATCACATGGAGATGGCATGCCACACCACACACTGAGAAGCAATGGAAACAGGAGCAATGTTTTCTTGAAAATCTCACAGTTTCTTTCCTACACATACTTTCCTGGCATTAGCATTTAAGAAACAATCAATATTTGGAATTCTTCCAATGGCATGTGTCTTAGTTAAGGTTTCTATTGCTTTGTCAAAACACCATGACCAAAAAGGAAGTTGGGAGGAAAGGGTTTATTAGGCTTCAGCAGTGCTAATCATCACTGAAAAAAAGTCATAACAGAATGAAAATAGGGCTGCCCTCCCCACCAGGAGGCAGTAGGTGATACAGAGTCCATGGAGGGGAGCTGCTTACTGGCTTGCTTCCCATGACTTGCTCAGTTCACCTTCTTATAGAAACCATGACCAACAGTCCAGGAATGGCACCACACGCAATGGGCTGGGACCTACCACATTGATCACTAAATGAAAAGAATGCCTTACAGTTGGATCTCATTGAAGCATTTTCTCAACTGAATCCAGTCTCTCTCTCTCTCTCTCTCTCTCTCTCTCTCTCTCTCTCTCGATTTCAGATACTACTCCAGCTCATGCTTGCCTCCATGTCACCATATTACCTGCCATGATGGTCATGGACTTACCCTATGAAACTGTAAGCAAGTCCCCAATTAAATACCTTCCATTATAAGTTGCCTGAGTCATGGTGTCTATCACAGCAAGAGAATAGTAATGAAGAAACCTTGTAACTGCTTTCTTCACAAAACTCTGAGGCAGGCTTTGGATTAATTGACATTTTCAACTAAAAGAGAACTTAAAAAGAGATAGATTAAGTGATTAATAAAATGACCCTCATTCAAAAATCAGGGGTTGATCATCATCTATGATCAGTGTTCCTATACTTTGAAAACATTCAGAAATAGACCCCTTGGGATCATCAATGTTTTTTTTTTTTTTTTTTTTCAAATCAGTCCTTGGCTTTAGTGTAAAAGGAGAGGAGCACAAAACTGTAACAAAGTCTGAGAAACCAGCACCCTCAGGACACTGCTCTCCCTACTTCCCACCTCATCATCCAAGACTCTGTAATTACAATCATAATGATGTTGAATCAACAAACAACAGAGATCCAGGGAGAAGGCTGGCCTCAGAGATGGAGATGTGCAGAAGGAGCCCTGTTCCCTGGTGAAGTCAAATTCCTGACAGCAGTGAGAGCTGTTATGAACACAGGGACTAGGGCGTGATAACAGAGCCTGACTGGTCCAGTGAGGACCCCCACCCTGAGCCTGCACAGACTACACAGGTGAGTGTAGCTGTGCCACTGAAGACTGAGGCTGCCTTTGACTTAAGGGGACCTGTGAGGCAGGGTGGCTGTATGTGCAGAAAAGTAGGGTCTCAGCTCCTCTGTCACTGTGCTTAAGGAAGTAGCAGGACCCAAGGAAACAATGGTTTATCATTTACCAGTTGTCCTCCAGAACCTTTGTTAGGGAGTGTTCGCAGCAGTTTGTGGTGCACTGTGCCAAAGATGCTTGTCACATGGGCCAGGACACAGGGGCCTGGTGGCATTTGAGTCTGGATGTGAGGAAGTACTTACTCTTCCCACAGCCTTATACATTTACCCCTCAAAGAGTCAAAGATTTTATTTGTGCCTCCTATTTGTCATGTTCTTTGTTCTTTTGAAGATAGGGCTTGCTTGCCTTCTGACTCTGATTTCATTTTCTGAACAAAAGTGAACATGAAGACACATTACAAGAGCAAAAATGCTTGCATGGGACAAAACAGCACCCTCAGGTTACAGGTGAGAACAATGGATGTGAGAAAGCCAAATAAGGTGATCACTGTGATACGTGCAGAATTGAGAGAGCGGGATTTGAGTCTGCAGTGGTTGATTGTAAAGAATGCTTTTGTGTATACTAAACTCAGTGTGTGTGTGTGTGTGTGTGTACCAGAGGGTAACCTCGGGTGTCTGATGCTCACTGCTTCTCCTAGGCTGACTGGCTAGAAACACCCAGAGATCTTCCTCTCTCTGCACCCCCAGTACTGGAATTAAAAGCATGCATGATACCACAGCATTTTGGTATTATAACCTACCCTGAGAAACTGGTCCTTTTGGCCAAGAATAATTTACTGGAGGAACTGTAAGCTTTTTATTATTTCCACAATCATTTGAATGATGGTCGATCAGGGGCACTGAAGAGCATCAGGATGAGACACCAACACAGTCCAGGGTACTTTGCTTAGGATAATCTGTGTCTTTCACTACATTGGAGGAATTCAACAAATTCATTTAGCAAATGTGTCACCCAAAGGAAGTTGACTTCTTTAGGCCAGTCAGTTTTTAGATATCATAAAAAGATAACAACTCTAGTGTCTCTCCAAGAGAGCTGCCAGCTTTCTTCTGTGTTTACTGTGCAGTTTTAAAAAGAAGAGCCTCATTTAATAACTTATTCATCAACTAGTTTTGAATAAGAATTAGCAACAATGCTAAATCCCTGAGATTGTCCAAACAAAAGCAGTCTCTGAGGCATGCTCCCTATCCAGGGCAGGAAGAAAGCAGATACACAGGCAACATAGCCTGCAGAGTTCAGGGAAAGCACAGGAGAGTAAACTCTGTCTGATAAGTGTAAGATAGAGAGTAGGTAGCCATGAAGCATGATGCCTTGATTGATACCAACCAGGGTATAGCAATCATAGTCCTGTGGCAAAGAGAACACCAATGTCACATTTGAGAGGGCAGAGATGAAGGAAATTCAGAAATAATTTTAATAAGGAAAGGATGCTAACTAGTGAAGGACAAAGACAATTAAGCTTGATTTGTATTCTGAGTGTTTTTTAAGAGGAGAGGCAAATAGCATAGTTGTCAGCTTCAAAAGCATTGTGTGTTATGTGTACTTGTTGGTGGGGCGGGCTTATGTGTGTCCAGTTCTTGTATAAGTGTGTGTACAAGCACAGGTCAGAGATCAGCATTGGCTGTCTGCTTCAATATCTTCCCAACTTTATTTTTCAATCAGGGTCCTCTCTGAACATAAAGCTCATTGATTCTGCAAGTGAACTCCAAGGACATGCCACTTTCTATTTCAAACCCCTTCTCACCAGCAGTGGAGTTACAATTCTGTGCTTCTTTGGTTAGTTTTTATTCGGTTGCTGTGGATCATAACTTGGGACTTACAGACTGTGTCATATCCCCAGCTCCCAAAGGAATATTATGACTTGAGTGTGTAAAGAGAAATAATAGAGATGATACCATTTTTAAAGAGTTTACACATTTGCATGGAATAATAGGGAGATGAGATTCATAGCTTGAGGCAATTTTGACTGAGAAAGCATTAGTCGCAACAAGACTTAAAATATATAATCGGCTACATGCCTTGTAGGTTAGAGTCAATATTTAAGCTAGGAAATGTTTTCCTGGTATTTCTTTTAGCAGAAGTCTCAGTTGAAAGAGACAGTAAGGTGGGTGGGAGGGAAAGAAAATCATCTTTGATAAGGTCTGACATATGTAGAATGCTGGGATCACAAATTTTATCAGACTGGTGCCCACCTTGATGTGAGAGGACAGGACTTTTGTTCCCTTCTTCCCACAAAATATTAACTCTGTGTCTCTCATGGCAAAGGGATATGAGTTATAGAGTATATCTTATAACCTCCCCTGAGAAACTGGTCCTTTCGGCCAAGAATAATTTTCTGGAGGAGCTGCAAGTATTTTATTATCTCTACCATCATTGAGTGATGGTCAATCAGGGGCACTGAAGAGGATCAGGATGAGACACCAACACAGTTCAGGAGCCTGAGGTCACACTGGGTGTGGTGAGGAAAAGAAAGGAGGACTGTCAGGCTAATAATTAGGACTGTGTTGTTTAGAAAAATGGCAAAGTGATGCCGTGCATTTAGCTTTTATCTGGGAAGAGCATGGTTATATGAACTTGAGGGATGAAGGATCTTTGTGAAAGGCAGGATATATGCCCTGACTGTAGCTATGTCATATCCATGGGAACAGAAAAAAACACAAACCAAAAGAAACCAAAAGAAAACCAAAAAAAGAATATGATCGTGGCATCATTAAGGAAAGAACAATCTGTGTTTACAGACTTGACACCACTCTTTTCATCAGAATAAGCAGAGAAAATCTTACATGTGTTTCTCAAATGACTTTTCCTAGTGCTATGCATGAAGTCAGAAGATGACATGGAATAACATTATCCAGACAATAATCTTCCTTTGTCTTATTGGACCTGGAATTGTAGGGAATATCCTAATGTTTGGGAGACATGTATACAATTCTGTCTTGGGGACTGAGAAAAAGCCTGTGGACCTTATCCTCATGCACTTGGGACTTTCTAATATGATCATTATTTGTACAACAGGGATCAGAGATATCGGTACAGTGTTTTATTTCAGAAACTTCCTTGGAGATTTTGGCTGTAAAGCTGTGGTTTTTCTGGCAAGGATGGCTCGGGGCCTTTCCATCTGTACCACCTGTCTTCTCAGTGTCGTCCAGGCTGTCACCATCTGTCCCAGGGCCACCATTTGGAGCAAGCTCAAACCACAGTCCTCACAGCAAGTTCTTACCTATGTCTTCCTCTTTTGGATCTTTAATGTTCTCACAAGTTCCAACTTGTTGTACTATATAACAGCAGGCAGTGACAACAACAGATCTAAAGTTCCAGAGTATATTGGGTATTGCTATATGCTTCCATCCAGGCTCGAAGTTAAGTGGCTTTTCCTCTCGCTCATGGCTGTTCGTGATCTGATCTTTCAGAGTCTCATGGGCTGGAGCAGTGGATACATTTCTTTTTACCTGTATAGACATCACAAGCAAGTCCTCTACCTTCATAGCTGCAGGTTGGCAAATAGTTTCAGTGCAGAGATCAGAGCTGCACAGAGTGTTCTCCTTCTCATGGCCTGTTTCCTTTTCTTCTATTGGACAGACTTTGTTTTCTCCTTTTACACAGGTTCCATGGTGACTCATGACTCCGTTATACTAAATATTAAAAAACGTCTAGTACTTGGTTATGCTGTTCTCAGTCCCTTTGTCCTGAGGAGCAGAGATGTGCCTCTTGCTAAATCCTTGTGTTTTCCCTGAGAAATGCTATAATTAAATTCCTCCATGAGCTCAAGATGCACACAGTCATTTATTTGCCTTAATATTTTGGAAGGTGTGTGGTGAGTGTGTAGCTTTGTTATGTAGCATAAGTTGTAAGCTGTTCTGGAAGCCACTTTTTAGCCGAGTCCTTGACCTCGTAATTCACCTACCTGGGCATTAAAACACTTGCCATTGCACCACTTTTGCCCTTGTATTCTAATATAGCTAAACATTAAATCAGGTAAGCATTATAATAACTTCCTTTTAAAAAAGACTAGTGCAGTAATTTGAATGTAATTGGCCTCCATAAGGTCACCGGGAGTGGCACTATAAGAAGGTTTGGCTTTTTGGAGTAGGTGTGGTCTTGTTGTAGAAAGTGCAGTACCATGGGGCCAGGCTTTAAGGCCTCCTATGCTCAAGCTATTGCCAGTGTGGACACATTCCTTCTACTGACTGCAGATTAAGATTCAAAACTCTCCTCTCCTTCTCCAGTACCATGTCTGACCTGTATACCACCATGACTCACCATGATGATAATGGACTAAACCTCTGAAACTGTAAGCCATCACAATTAGATGTTCCCTTTATAAGAGTTGCCATGGTCATGGTGCCTCTTCACAACAATACAAACCATTACTAAGACATCTAGATCAAGGTCACTTAAGAGTAGTCCAGGATTTCTAGGCAGGTAGAAAGAAGATTCTTCCCATCTTCCCATCCACTGTCCCTATCCTCTGACTTTTAACTTCTCATTAGCACTGGGAAAATACTGGAGGCAACACTTCTGTCAGAAACCAGCAAATTTTTCCCCTCAAAGCCACAGGGTGAGAGCAAGATAGTGCAGGTGGAGGTGAGGAGAAGACCCTTTTCTGGGGTCTGTTTGTACAGCAGAGGGAAGATAACAGTGAGACAATTCAAGCCATCACAATTCAGTAGATGTGGTCACTAATTGTTTGACATTGTCAGGTTCTAATCCCACCAGGAAACTAGTGATGGCAATGTGGGACAATTCTAACCATGTTAAAACTCAGATAATCCCATGAGAAGCTGTGGCTAAAGGGCTGTCTCAGTGATGCCATCTCGGGTCTGTAACCATGCTCCAGGCTGGAGCCTCACCCACACACTGATGTGTAAATACCTCACCAATAGCTTGTTAACACTGAAGTTTCCACCTCTGGTTCCCTGTCACTCACAGTGGCCGACACTGAACATCTGGGTCTGCTAAACCACTGTGCCTGTAATTCCAGGCTCCTTCATCCCCGATGCTGCACAGGCACAGGCACAGGCACAGGCACAGGCACAGGCATAGACACACGCTGCTGAACTGTGGACTAGGAGACCAGGGAACTGAGGATGTACTGGAGATCTGCTTGGTAATGGCCAAGGGGCACAGCTTTGCCAACCAGAAGGACATCTGTTGCTCTGAGAACTCCACAGCCTCTGGCCCAAGTGGAAATGGAGGGTCCCGGAAGCGTCCTGACCTTGTGTCATCCAGGGTCTGTGTGCTGTAGACATGTATTTTACTTGATTACACTGTATATACAAAACATTTAAGTAAGTGATGAGGATCGTATTGTGCTATAGATTATTAAATAGCTTGTTTTCCTAATACAAGGATTTATTTTTTGTATGTGTCTATGAGTGTGTGCCACATGTGTCGATCCCTACACAGACCAGAAGAGGACACTGAGTTCCAGGGAACTAGAATTATAGGTTGCCATGAGTCCTAGGAAGTAGGTGTTGGGTAAGGAACCAGGGTGTTCTGCAAGAAGATCAAGTCTCTTAACCATGCCTCCAGCTCCTTGTCACCTTTCTCATGCAAATGTGACTTGTTTGTGGGTAACATCTATTGCTTCTCTTACAGTCTCACAGCTCTTCTGTTACAGCTGTCTTTTAGAAACTGACATAAAGGACCAGACTAATGAACACTTTCTAAGGCAGTCTGTGTAATCTGAATGATGAAAAAAAAATTGTTCAACATTAAGAGTAGAGAGAGAGAGAGAGATCTGTAGAGTTGCCTGCGTGGATAAGAGCGCCTGCTGACAAGCCAGATATGTAGTGATATATTATTTATGATTTATTAAATCTTGACAGAGGATTCAGAAAAGCAAAGTCAGCCTCAAGGTATAGAGATCAGGCAGTGGTGATACACACCCTTTATCCAAGCAGCCAGAAATTAGGAGGTGGTGACACACACCTTTCATCACAGGACTCGGGATTAAGAGATAGATGGATCTCTGTGAGTCCAAGGCCACCCAGATCTGCACAAGATTGTACCAGTCTAATAGAAAATTACAGTTGACACTTTTAACTCCAGCACTAGAGGGGTATAAAAGACAAGAGCAAGGGAAGATTCAATATGAGGCATTGATTCTCCAGCCACACTGAGGAGAGGCAGCAGTTTGAGACTTGGTGAAGAGCTCGTGCCTGGATCAGCCCTTTCAGCCTGAGCTAGAGGTGAGAGCTAGTGGATGACTGCTTTGCTTTTCTGATCTTCAGTTTGAAGCTGGAACCCCAGTATCTGTCTCTAGGTCTTTTATTTATTCACGTTACACAGACAGTCTGATTTACCTCTAAAGGAGAAAACTAACTCCCAAATGTTGTCCTCTGGCCTCCATATTCATGCTGAGACATACACACATGAACACACACATACACAAAAAACTGTGAAATAATTTAATTTTTTTTAAAAAAGATAGGAGATACATAATTGTTGGCACAGCATGAACAAGGGTGGTCAGGACTCTGAGCGGCATATAGAGTTGCTATTGTATAAAAAAATGTTGGAAAAAAATTTCTATAAAAGAAAGAGTAAATTGGGGAAAATGAAGCAAAAGCTTGATCAGAACATAAATTAAAACTTTAATATATGATGAAAATTGTAAATAAGCAGAGGATAGTGAAGGCAACCTGGAAATGGGATTCAATTATGCTCTTTCAGGTAAAGCGCATGGGATTTGACAGATGGATTAGTATAAACAACTTCATTTCCTCATGCTGACCATATTGCTGGTCACTAGCATGGACGTGTGGGACATTATGCTAAATGAAGTACTCCATGATTTTGGTAATATGTGGAACCTAAATACACAAGAGAATAGACCGTCGGTGTGTGGTGTGCAGCCTACAGCCCTCAGAACCTACCTCCATTTGCTTGTGGCTGGTTCCTCCATATAATCAGAAATATGAAGTTGTGGCTACTCTGAGCTTGGCAGCCTTCACCTTCAAATTCTCTCTGTCATGTGACTTTTCCTAGGAAGACATTAAATAAATTGTTCACCTGCAGTTAGGGTAAAAGATATGCAAAGAATTGGTTCCATCCAAGTTGAGTTGAGTGAACCAGTTTACTTGGATTATCCGAATACATCATAATTTATTGGGCATGGAAGACTCAAACATGTGGTGATATATTGTTTATGATCTAATAAAGCCACTAGAGATCAGTTTGCAAAGACAGTCTCACTAGTTAGCTATAGAAACTAGACAGTGGTGGCATACACCTTTAAACTCAGGACTCAGGAGACAGGCAGATGGATCTCTCTGAATTTAAGGCCACCCTGACTTACACAAGATTGAAGAGTAACAGAACTCACACCTTTGATCCTAGCACTTGGGATCACATGCCTTTAATCCCAGCACTAGGAAGGTGGAGGCAGGAGTGGTATGGCTGGGTAGAGAAAGGAATAAAAGGATGCTGAGACAGGAATTCAGAGCCTTTTGCCTCTGAGGTTTCATGGAGATGGAATTGAAACTTCAGCTGGGAAGAGATAAGATCAACTGGCTTGGCTGCTTTGCTTCTCTGTTCTTCAGCTTGAAGCTTGAACCCCAATGTCAGTCTTGGCTTTTTTATTTATGGTGTTCCACAAAAGCATCTGCGTGATCAGAACTTCTGACTCTAACATAGGTGACAACCCCTTAAAGAGCTGTATGAGGAAAGATCCTAACCCTCAATCAAGATTCTACCTCCTATGTGTTTCTCAAGTTAGTAAGCAGCTACGGCAAAAAGAAATGGAGACTGGACTGTCAGAGAACATGTGAGAACAGGTTTCCACATTACCGTGGGATGGTAACTGTCCCATTACCCGTACCTTAGGGCAAGCTGCCACTAACACTGTTCCACTTGCTTCATTGCTGCGACTACAGCCAAAGTTATTCTGTGGGTCTTATTGTCACTGCTTTATGGTGGCCAATGGCTGTGAACTGGCTAGTTTTGTCAACTTGACACAAGCTAGCTTTATCTGAATGGAGGAAACCTTCATTGAAGAAACACCCCATAATCAAGGTGTAGGGAATTTTCTTAATTAGTGATTAATGGGGGAGTTCACAGTCTTTTGTAGGCGGTGCCATCTTTGGGCAAATGCTCCTGGGTTCTATACAAAAGCAGGCTGAGTCGCCATGAGGAACAATTCAGCAAGCTTCTGCTTCTAGGTTTCTGGCTTAGGCAAGTTCCTGCCCTGACTTCCTCTGATGGTGAACAGTGATGTGGAAGTGTAATCCAAATAAACCCTCTCTCCTTGTAAGAACATGACCCAGGAATGGAGTAGTCTGAGAATTCTGAGTGCTTGTGGAAACTCTCCAAGGCAACAAGACAAAAAACATCTTGTCTCAGTTTCTCCAAGTCACAGAAAAAAATTGGAATGTGTTTTCATGCTCCCTCCAGGCAGAGCAGAAAGGAGTGGATTTATTTCAGATTGCTTATTATTGCTTGTTATCAATAATAAATAAATGTTTAAAAGTCCTTTGTGTGCTTCTGTGAAAAAAAATGTTTTGTCATGCTCAGCTTGTCTTTGTTATTGTATACAGCTTGAACTCATATGAACTTTCTCACCTTCAGAGTATAAATTGTTTACTGCTCTAAATAAAGTTTGCTATTACATGAGACTTTAGTCCACCTCATTCTCCCAGGTCCAACTGCCTCTGGAGTGGGGACATGCGGTGCCTGAAAAGGAACCTGAAATTGGCTATGACATAGGAAAGTGGAGACTGTCACAAGAGGATAT